ATCCGTTTCAAACCCACGCGTGCTTACGTTTTCCTGGGATTAACCACCCTGTCAAATCGCGCTTTTTCAGGCGACGTTTTAGCAACCTCATCATCACGCTTTCTCTCTCCAGGCAACCGTATAAATAAGAGTGATCGTTTTCTTTGTCATTTACCAAGTCACAGCTTATCTCTCTCACACAAAGATTAAACTGTTCATCTTCTTCTTTGTTCAACAATGGCGACCTCATCCTCCGCGCATGATCAAACCGCTACATCCTCCTTGCTTACAATACGACCCAACCAAAATCTGATAATCGAACTATGTCCATTCGCATATGACTCATACATGTTGCATGTGGTGGAGTGTCTGAAGTATTCCCCACTGGTAATGGCCCTAACCCTAGTCGAAGCAGTTCCGATGTCGCTACTTTCTCAAGTGTACTCATCAGTGACATATGACAAGAAAAAGGATCGCATCTACTTCAGTATTCACGATATGCAATCCTCAATTTCAAAGACGAAGTTTTGTTCCCTTTTAGGGCTTGCAGTTGATTCCTCCATCATCTCTCCAGACTTCATCACTATAACCCAAATTTTCACAATGCTGTACGAAATGGGGTACACCGACGTTCTTACAACGGTGGCGAAGGTCAAGAAGTCATGCTTACCATCGCAGTTGAATGGGTTGCTGACCCTGCTCATCAAGGGTTTAGCGGAAAGAAGTGGTGGTTCTGATACCACTAACAAAGGCTTCCTCACCATGCTTTATGGTCTATATAACGAGATAAATCTGGATTATGGCACAATAATTTGGTCCCAAGTGGTGCAGAGTTTGAATACCACAACCCGTCATTCTGAAATCTCATGTGGCCGGTTCTGGACTGTGATTACAAGGAAAGCTATGGATACTTTGGAGATTCCGGTTATGACAGACACTCTTCTTGCTTCTATCGCTACATATCACACCATGAAGATTATTCTCTCTGATCCATGTAAGTTTCTTCATTATGGATGAATTCCTGAGTCGATGTACAGGTGTGTCACAGCACAAAGCACGGTGATGTATGATTACCGAAAATTGACTCCAGTTGGTCCAAGGGTCTTGTCTGCAGAACAACAAGCTGCCCTAGATGCTTTGGAACAACCTGCACCCATAGGCAAGCGGGTGGTTAAAACAGAGAAAGAAGAGGTAAAGGAGAAAAAGGAGCAAAAGGAGAAAAAGGAGAAAGTTTCTAAGAGAAATGCTGGTGAGGAAGCTTCTTCTCAAACAAAACAGAAGAAAATTAAAAAGATGGCTAAAAGGCCTAAGAGAAATTTGTCTCCTGAAGCTGACACCGTTGAAGATCAAGCAGCAGAAACTGAGAATCCTCAAGTGTTCACCAGAGAGCCTACACCACCGAGATCTCAAACCCCACCCTCATCTCCTAAAGATACTCACATTCCATCTCCTCAACCCACAAAAATTTCCACCCCAACCCAATCACCAAAACAGAAAGCTCCACTTTCTGTTCCCACAGATATACCAACCCTTCCGGTTGAAACTTCTTCTATACCAACTTCAACTATCTATACCTCTGTTCCTGTGTCCACTACACCTATCACAACTTCTCTTGTAACAGAATCCATCACCACTACCATTCCCCAAATCCCAGTTGAAGTCAATGTACCTGATACAGGGGCTACTCCTGTGGTTGATCCACCTGTTTCTAAACCACCATCTCCCACCCCATCTTCTAACTCTGGTGCCACTTTGGGAGGTGATGACGAAGAGTATGATTCATTATACTTTAGTCCTTACTGGATTCCAACTGATATAGATGCTGATGCTCCTGCCAACAATCAACAACTTCAAGACATCAATGAAAAGCTTGACCGCCTGCTTGCAGACAACAAAGCTTATAGTGGGGTTGTCATGAAAGCTTTTGTGGAAATAGCTGTTCAGCAATATACTGAAGCCATTGACCAATCCACTGCTGCAGTAAACAAGTCCACAGCTTCATGTTCCGAGGCCACAGAGAAGGTTACTGAGGTTGTTCATACAACTCAGATTTTCCTTGACTCACTCAAAGCTCATGCTGATACTAATGCAGAAAAGTACCAGGCTTCTGTTGACTCCTTCTCTCAAACTCTTCAAGAAGAGACTACTAAGTTTGATGCCCTTCGTGCTGATCTCAAAACAGAATCTACATCTTTTCTCCAATCCTTGGATTCTCGTTTTGCTACTTTAACTGTAGAAATCACCTTGAAGGAAGACTTGATAAAACACCAGGCAACTATTGATCTACAAAAAGTCCAACTAGCCCATAATGAAAAGGAGATCTCTCTGCTGAAAACTCAAAGGGCTATTTTTCAAAGTTGTGCTGGTGATGTGAAGAATATGTTGACTGCTCTTCTCGAAGCCCATGATCCGATTCTAACTTTAACTATTCGGAAGCATCTCCAAACTAAACTTCTTCCTGCCATTTCTCTACTCAGTGAAATGAAGGGTGTCTCGTAGAAAGTCTTTCTTCCGACACAAGGGGGAGAGGAGAGCAAAGTCAAAATAGAACCGAAGGTTAATGTAGCTTCGGTTTCTGGAAAGCAAATTATAGACGACAGTGACTCTGATCCTGAAGAGACGATTGTCGAAGCTCTCAAGCGAAAGAAACGAGATAGAGAGCTTGATGAGACTATGAAGGTGGCAAGAGAGGCTGAAGAGAAGGAGAAAAAGACTAAAGAGGCAGAGGATATTTTACAGTGCAAGAAGACTCTGTTTCCCGAGTGGGACAGAGATACTCTTATCACTCAAGCGATTGAGTTTACTTCCATGTATTGGTTGGAACCAATTGCTTCTTTTGAATGTGAAAACTCAAAGGACTCGTAGTTTGACATGCCAATCACAAAAAGAGCATTGACTTATCATTGCTTTGAGGTCACTGCTGAGGTTCCTTTTCCCAACTTAAAGGTTGACAGGGAGCTAGTTGATTTTTACTTGAAGAACGCTCAACCACAGTACTTGACTTGGAGTGCATAGAAGATTACAAGAGTCAAGGTACTGAACTCATCACTTGCTGGGAGATTTATGAATTTACATTTCAAGATTAACCGTGGTACTGCAAACACGGAATATTTCATATCTCTGGCAGATCTTCCCAATCTTAATCCTCATGATTGGATCTTGCTATACAACATTCTGCTCTCAAATCAACGAGAGTATGAGCCGATTTTGAAACATCTTAAAAGGATGTTGGCCTCCTATATCCATGAGCTTGCCACAATGGATCAGGAGATAGCAAGGGTGATGAATAAGAAGCTGACAGTCAAGCCAACATTTAAGCCCGTTGATGTAAATAAAATGAAGTTGGGGCAGATTGATTCAACTAACTTGACTGTCATGTTCACTAAGGGTGATAGGCTTAAGTTTCTGTTTGCATTGGTAGACAAGCATCTGTTTTCAACAGATTGTTTGGAGCATATTATCAACATCATTCATCGATGCAAGCAGAACTCAGCATCAGACAAGAAAATTTTTACAGATATGCTTCGGTGGTATATAACATTTAAACAACATGTTCTGGCCATTATACCGAGGATATTTGAAATGGTGAAGAAGACCACTGGTGTGAAAAGAGAATAGAGATTCTGCTCCAAAGACGCAAAGGGGGAGATTGTTGAATATTTTAAGTGTTGCGTCTTGGATTATTTGTTTTGTAAACGGATTGGGCTTATCCATTCGTAGTTGTCTAGAATAGTTTCCTTTATCTAGATAAGTTGTTAGGGTTTTATTATAAATATATGCATGCATGTATGCATATATAAGAGATTATTCGTTCACGTTGATTGTTGGAACCCTAATTTTACCTCTACAGATTGAAGTTCTTAATCGAGCTCTTCTGGGGTATTTTGCATTAATCATTCGACATCTTCATCGCAATACTTGTGTTCTTATCTACGTTCTTATTAGTATTTTGCTTAGAATCATACAATCTTGAAAGAACTTTGTTCTAACACCCTAATTAGGGTTATGTGTTCGAATCTGGTGGAAAATGGCAACTGTTTGATTGGTTATCCCCTTTTCATATCCAAACCTTCAATAATTCAACTTTGACTGATGTTTGCCATTTGAAAAGATTTGGAGTACCGATAGGATGAAGCCAAGTAAGTGACTAAGTACCAGATTGTTGTAGACATAAGCTTAATCCATCCCTATTATAAAACATGTTGTGTGGCTGATAATGGACAACCTGTATTAAGTAATTTAAATCGTAAAGTCAAATATAGATCTAAAGTCTAAACTGTAATTTTAAAATGAGAATCCATAAATGGTGTAACGTGTAAGTAAATGTATTTACTTTTGTCCTATCGGATGTCATGTGAAGTAGAATCGAAAGTATGTATTATGATCAATCTGTATTAAAAGCTTTAACATCCACTCTTTGCTATGAGAGGAAAAAGAAGAGACATTACCATTAGTTAAATAGATTTTTGAGTGAGAAGGTGACAAAATTATTTAAAGAATAAAAAATGTGACTCACCTTCTTTTCGAGGTTAAGAAGTGATAGCCCAGCACTAAAAACACAATTGGGCCAATGTTGGTTTTGGTTTCGATAAACATAACACAGGCAGTGGGAAGAATCGATGGATCTTAAGGATGAGACCCCCTTTTCTCATCATCACTTGCCTATGCCTTTGATCGACACCGTAGCATTATAACAGTCCCATCCATGATCTCCCATATATATACATTTTACACGAAGATAATAAACATTTATTTTTGGTTCTTAATCCCATTCAAATCACACCAGAACTTGTCATGTGGTGTGTTTTCAACACAACTGAACAAATGGAAATGAACTCGTCTAACCAACAAAACAAAATGAAACGTGTGTATTTAGGGGGCTTGCTAGCTACTTACTAATAAATACTAATATTCAAGTCAGTCATATATAATCCAAAATATATAATCTTAATGTACAAGCCTAGAGGGAGAGAGGAAGGTAGGGAGGTTTCAAAACTTATGATGAGGAAGAGGAATTAATGTTACGGTGCTAACTTGGCTAGAACGACCATATCTAGTATTTTAACATCAAGATTGTCATCCACTTTAACGATTCCATCTGTGCCATCCACACCAATGAGCTTCCATGTAGCCTCATGTTGGGGTCCACCCATTATCTTTATTTTTCCTGACTTCCTTGGCACTACCACCTCTATCTCGTTCGGGTTGGCAGTGATGACATCCCCACCAACAACTACTCGACATGCCCCATCCTGAAACATACCCCAATACTATTAATCATATTCATATAATTAAAAAACATATTTATTCACAACACACAATACCAACCAGAAGTACTTCTCGGATGACACCAACAATAGCATCTTCACCTGATCGGCGTACATTCACCAATATGTCTGGCAGGAACCATGGTCCATCATTATCCCCACCTGCACAAACACAAATGCTAATATCTTAATATTAATTATAAGGAATCCATCGGTATACAATTACAATTTACAACATACACTAACCTACTACACGTGACATCATATCCAAGCCACCAACACCAGGAGTCATTGGTTGGCCGCCTGGTGTACCAGGTAAATATGTTAAGCTTGGTGTCATGGGTGGCTGTTCACCAGGTGTTGATGGCAAGTAAGTCCTTGGAGCATTACCTGCAATTACACGCCACATGATATATCCTATCCATAACTTAACTCACAATTAACATAATGAGAGAGAAAAAAAAAGCTTTAGCATACCATAGGAGGCAGGGGTAGTATCCCTATCCCTATTATCCCTTGGTGTGCCAGCTTCACTGTAACTTCCACCAGAAGGACTATTGGCCCATCTTGAACCAAGAGTTGGTGCTTCATATGCTCTTGAACGAGGGCTTCCCGGCTGCAATTCATATATTTATTATAAACATTACTCTTTTATTAATTAATCAAAGGGAGGGAGGGACAAGAGTGACACTAGTGCTCACTTGATACTGAGGACTGCTTCCCTAAGAACCAGGGTTTCCATCTTCCCAAGATTCCCTAAACAAAATAATCCATGTCAAAATTCTCTTGTTTTTTGGTTTAAACAATCATGATATCAATTCTTATGAATAAGAAAAGACAGGTAGCAAGCTACAAACCTGGAAGGACTCATGGGTGCGTATGGATTCCATGCTTTGTCACACATACGTGTCCTCATTCCATCGTGAATAGGTGTTGCTGACCAAAGATTCAAATTCATTAAACATGAAACATGAAAAACAATTACTTACTATGCATGAAAAAACCAACCAACCAACCTGCAGAATCCCTCATAGGCATCATATATGGATGGAGTCGGGTTCGTGAAGGATGCATAGGTGTCTCACTTACAGACCCATACCTATGTGTCTCACTGATATAAATATCATAAGCAAAAAATAGTTAAGAAGGTATCTATCTAATCTTCTAATTCTAAGAAAAAATATATGTATACCGATATGGGGCCGTCTTGTTGGCATTATTAGAGACGTGAGTCCGATCAACTGCAAAAAGTAAACAGGAGTCATTAACAACAAATGGGCTAAATAACTATACTTTTTTCTCATTTTTTAAATGAGAGGAAAAGGCGAGTAGTCCCGTGGGGAAAACATGTTGGGAGTAGGGGTAGTGTCGTCAATTGCTTCTAGAACTTGGATTATTCCTCCTTGAGCCAGCTGATATTGGCTTTGAGAGACTAAAACTACCCCTAAAGCTAAATTTTCCAGATCTGGTAGGTTTTGTAATTGGTAAGGGATCTGCATGAACCATAGTCGCCATGACTGCAAAAATTGCAGCAATAATCACTCTTAAGCAAAAGAAACAACGTGAAACATATGTGAGTCTGATTATCATAAGCAAGATACAGTGAGAATACATGGTTCTTGATTCCCAGGGTTATAAGAACTCGTAGAACCAAAAACCCTAATTCCCCAAATTTATTTAATTATAAACCATGTGATGGATGCAGGTACACATCCTTGCTTGTGGTTTCACTAGTCTGTTATGTAGCAATATTCTCCTTCTCTGGTTGATAAGAAGATTGAGGATGTGATTGATGAGGCGATTATGTGGTTAGATACGAACCAATTGGCTGAGGGGGGGGGGGTGAGTTTAAGGATAAGATGAAGGAGCTTTTTCCTATTTTAAAACTTTTAGGTTAGAAAGAGATAGACGAAGAGAGAGAGAGAGAGAGAGAGAGAGAGAGAGAGAGAGAAGATTGAATGAAGAAATGTTAAAGGCACTGGAGGTGGGTGAAGGTGGAGTCCCTAGGGCTTCTTGTTGCTAATTCAAAGATCAAGATCGATGGCAGAAGGTGGAGGCATCAGTAAAGGGAACAAGGTACAAAGAGAGGAGATCGAACCATTTAGTGTGAGGATCAATTTGGAAGAAATCTCAAACCCTTAACCTTAAACATGATGTGAAGCAATTGATCCATAATCTTCTTCATCTCCGTTAATTCCTTGGGCTCACATAATCGGACGATGGTGGTAAATGAAGCATTCTTCGAGAAGGAAGGTGCATCGCAACAGTTTGATGCTAGAAGTGGGAACGAGGATTGGAGGCAGTGGATGTGGGTGATGGGTGAGGGTGAAGAAGGTGGGGTTTAAAAAATTGGGGATTTCATTTTCCCTCCGAGCGCGTTTTTCTTAAAAAGAAAAATATAAAACGACATTCACAGAGGACGCACAAGTGCCCTCCGTGTTTTTAATTTTTTTACATGAGACCCTAATTTAAGGGCACGCAATAATGCGTGATATAAATCCTTAAAATTTTTGAACAGATGAAACTTTTTTAATGTTACTCTCTATTGCGTAACATAAATCAATGAGTGTGGTGGATTGCACATCGTAAAAGGGTCTTTTTCTTGTAGTGATTAAATCTGTGGGGACTAATTATGGTAATTAGTTATATTTATATGTGTTGGGCTTATGATCCATGTTGGACCAAATTTATGTATGGATACATAAAGGGTTGGGCCACATGGACCATGGATCATAAAACCCATGGGTATGGATTTGGGTTATATCCATGACCCTAGAAATTCAACATATAAATAGATACTTCATTGCCTAAAATCGCCACTTGTATCTTATTAGAATTCATGGTGTCTGTTGTGTGCATGGAATTTTGTCTCAAGTTCATCCTTTGTCCATGGTGTGTTGTGATTCCATTTGAGGCTTCCACACTATTAGGGCTAAGCTCTTTAAGACCAAATACACCAAGAATTCAAGCTCCATCAAAAGGTATGTCATGCTAACTAGTATATTATATTTTTATGTTAAATGCATGCTAGTTGTAAGATTTATACCTTGGAAACCATTTGCATGTATAATTAGTGAAAACATAGATCCAAGGTATTTAGGGTTGTATGTGCACCATAGGATGTTGTAGTATACTGAAACCCAACATATAGAGACTCAAGAGTTTCATTGGATCAAGTCTCTAAGAGTAGCCATGCAAGGCATACTGGACAATAGAGAGTATTAAAGAAAAGTAGATAAAGTTAAACTAAGTACAGAATAATTAAGATTGCGGTTTGATGATGACTTCGGATGAGGTTGATGAGAAGATCTTGATTGCGGATCCTTGAGGGTTGTGGTAGACGAAGTTCAAGAGGGTCACTTTCATGATTCAACAATTTCCCCCTAAGTGACCTCTCTAACTTTTCTTCACTTATCATGTTTTAGGAACTTGATAAGAATCCACCAAAACTTTCTGATATTTTCCAACCAGGTGATGCTTCTTAAAATCTTGAACTTGACTTCGGTAGTCATGTGTTTTGATTTTTCTACTGCGGTTCTACAGATTTCAAGTTCCTTCCTTGTAAGACGATTCATGGAGGTCATGGGAATGAAGTATTTGACTTTATCAATCTTCCTTTTGAAAATGACTCCAAGTTCAGGGAAGTTTTTTGCACCTAGGGATTTCTCTTGATAACCTTCGGTAGGCATTGGTGCAGGATGAAGTGGAGGTAAATTGAACTTCTTTTCCAGAACCGGATGAGCTTCAGCATCAATTTTTGTGAAGTCGCAGAGAGTTTCCTTCAGAAATGCGCTTGCCCTTTCAAGTGTTATCTTCATCTTTGGATACTTTTTGCGTTTGTTTTGGAACACCTTTCCTATTAGAAAGACTTCTTCTGGATTCATACATGGGAAGTCAACTTGGGTGCGAACTTAGTCATGATTCCTTCTTGTAAGAGTGTATTGAATAAAGTCAGGCTTCATGAATTTTCGGGGCTTGAAGTTCTTGACTACGGATGGCCTATCATTAGACCATATTTTCTCTATGGAAGAGGCATGTTTGGCATAGAATCGATTGAGTCTCTCAAATTCCATGGGCAGTCTTATGTGATCCGGTAGTCTAAGGTCAAATGGCTCAAATACAGCAAAGTATTTGTCATTAGGAGAGATAGGAACATCCTAGTAACCATCAAAAGGAAGTTCAGCATAGGTAAGATAAGGTTTGTAGTCATCATCCAATAGTCTGCGGTGGGGGTTAATCCAAGAGTTGATCAAAGATTCATCCAAGGTGATGTCGAAACCGTTTTCTCTCCAGATGAGTTCAGCAAATTTAGCTGCTTTCCAATCTTCTTTCTTCTGTTTCATCGCGGGAGAGTCGTCGGAGTGTTCAGATGACATATTGGATGCTATATTTTTGAAGTGAGGAGGAGTCTCAGGTCGTTCAGGAGAAAGAACGATTGTCTGTTGCGGTGGAGGAGACTGATCGATTGGATTCTTGTGAGGAGATGGTTGTGGTGACAGTTTTGGTGAGGGAATTTTCTCAGTTATGATGGGGGGGGGGGGGGGGGGCTTCTATGATGAGAACCATTGTTCGAGTTATGGTCTTCTTCAGACTGATGGTCTTTTTCATGATGGTCTTTTTCACTTCCCCCTCTTGAGGAATTCAGACCCAGAGCTTCCCCAAGCCATTGTTTGAGACCATCGACCTTGGCACACACCTACTGAAATTAAGCTTTAAGAACATCAGCCAGTTACTCATTGTCTGGGATGGCGATGTTGAAGAGAAGTCGATGAATCTCCTTTGTGAGTTGTAGAACTTCAGGGCCGTGAATATTGGACGATAAGGATCGTTGAAGTTTGTTGATGGTTGCATGAAGGACTGAGATAGTGGACTCATAAGCAGTGTGAGTCTCAACTATCAGTTTCTGTGAGAGAGCGGACTGATCCGCAATGGTTGTTTATAAATTTTCCTTGATTGCGGATACCTCAGAGATGAGGCGCTCCGCAGCAGCCATGAATTATTTGTGATCAGCTTGGCGGCTTGTATCCAGGGATCGGATTCCCATTTCAACTTTTAGAGTTATTCGCTCAGCAACCAGTCTTTCACGGGTTTCCAGTCTTTCAATTCTTTCTATTAAGGACTGCGGTACTGGATGGTCTTCAGATTTCGGTTGAGTGGACTTGACCGCAACAAGAATTTGATCTACTTTGGACTATAGACTCAAAAATTCTTTTCTAGACACAACCATGTTCTTCTTCTTCTTTTTCTCCTTGGTCTTGGAGGTTGAGTGTTGAGATCCACTCGATTCCTCTTCTTCATCATATCATCATCAGAAGGTTTAGGTTGATTTACCTCATTCAGATATTCATTATCAAATTTGAAGATAGGAGCAAAGCTAACTTCTATTGCAGTTCCATCATCTTGAGAATCTCTAGCAGTTGGAGTTGGAGGGAGTTTAGACGTACCTTCACCACCATGAGTGGATTGAGCCTTGCGGATCATATCGGCCATTTTGTCCATGAACTCTTGTACTTTCAGAATTGTGGATATGGTATTGGCATTATTGATTGCGTCTGCCCATTATTTGGCTAAAGATTGAATCTCCAATTGATTCTGTTGAAGTTGCTTTGTTTGATGAGCCTTTCTTGCTTGAAATGCCTTACGGAAAGTGGCATATTTCTTTGCTTCGGCTTCATTGGTTGGTTGATAAGTACTCCATGAGTCATTAAGATCAATGTCATCAATTCCTTGGAAACGCACTGAGGTGTCCCTCGGGTTCACGGATCCTTGCACCTTCACCAACATGGCACTGACCTGGTGGAATGGTCAGATCAAATAACCCTACCAGTGGAAAATGCTATGGGTTGGGAGAGCTTGAAAGAGCTCATGCATGTTGAGTACTTCCCCCAGGGCGAAATGCAAAAACTGGAGCACAAACTCTGGAACCTAAAAATGAAGGGTTCTGACGTCGCCACCTATACATCTAGGTTTGAAGACCTAGCACTCCTCTGCCTGGGGATGGTCACCCCTGAAAGCAAAAGGATTGAAAGATACATTTGGGGGCTGACCCAGCCAACCAAAGGAAATGTCTTGGCTGCTAGGCCAAACACCTTTGATAGCGCTAAGTGCCTGGCGCAAACTCTGATCGATCATGGATTCAATCTCGATGAAGTGACCACCGCTCCTGAACCGGCTAAAGGGAGTGGTGAGAAAAGAAAATTCTAGAAACAGAAGAAGAGTCAGTCTTCGCAGGAGCCCTCAAAGAAACAGCAAATGGTGGCAGTCAACGCTGCTACTACCCCTGTCGCTACTCCTGTCACTCAAGCACCTACCAGTAAATATGTTGGTAACCTTCCTCAGTGAAACAAGTGTAACTACTACCATAATCCCTACCCATGTCGTGAAATGTCGTGCTCTAACTGTGTAAACAGGGGCATACGATTCGATTTTGCAAGGCGCCAACTCAACCAACCAATCAAACAACGTGAGCAGGAGTCGGTCAAGCCTGTTATAATTGTGGAGAAGTTGGGCACTACAAGAGAAACTGCCCCAAGACAATAACAACTAATGAAACAGGGAGAATATTGACGATGGGACACGAGGAGGCAATCGCTGATCCCACAGTTGTTTCGGGTACGTTCCTCCTTGACAACTCTTATGCAGGCATTCTTTACGATTCTGGTGCTGAAAGAAGCTTTGTTAGTCATGCATTCAAGCACCTTCTTAAACATAAATCCCAACCATTAACCAAAACGTTTACCGTCGAGATGGCTAACAGCGAGAAAGAGAGCCCTAACGATATATACGTAGGTTGCACTCTTACCCTAAACGATCATTCCTTTCCCATCGATCTTATGCTAGTTTCCATAAAGAGCTTCGATGTCATCATTGGAATGGATTGGTTAAGCCCCAATCGTGCTGATATCCTGTGTTTCAAAAAAGCTACCCGACTCAATCTCCTCTCTGGTGAAAAATCCCAAATATACGACCCAAAAAATTTATTGTTAAATAATAATAAAAGTCATAACACTGAATGTCGTATAATAAAACCACACGTCGGATATCTCAAAGCCATAATAAAAGTGTCATGTCAAAAACTGTATCAAATCACATCTAATTATCTGAACAAAACTCCCAAGAATAAAGTTGAAGCTGTGGTGTGTGCGATGCCGTCATCCTGAGCTCTTCCCTTTACTTGCGGAAGTACTTGAAACCAAAACTGAAACTGTAAGCACAAAGCTTAGTGATCTCCCCCAAACTACCACATACCATACAATAACATATAAACACATACTGGGAATTGCCCACTGCATCAGACCGAAGTCTGGAAACTGCATCAGACCGAAGTCCGGAACTAACCAGGGCCTTGCCTTCTACATCAAACAGAAGTCCGAAAACTGCATCGCACCGAAGTCCGGAACTGACTGGGACCTTGTCCCCTACATCGGACCGAAGTCTGGAACTAGCTACATCGAACCAAAGTCCGGAAACTTAGTATAAGATAGCATGGCATAAACATATCAACTAGCATGAACACGTAAACTGCATGCTGGATCGGGCCGTAGCCCAGAACACATAACACATAAATCCTATCTGAGCCACGAAGGCATCAAACACACTAAAAACTGCATCGGACCGAAGTCCGAAAACTACTACTAGCTAAACGGGTTGGCATTGTGGCCTTAGACTCGTTCCTACTGGAAGGAAACTCACCTCGTAAACTGGATGGTAAATGAACTGCTCTGGAAACTATCTGTTGCTGCTCCGATATTTCCCCAGCTACAATTTCCATAACACACTAAATCAAATACTAATAACTATACTAAGGGTAAAATAACTATTTTACCCCTAATCAAAGTCAATCCTATTGGTCAAAGTCAACATACAGTTGTCCTGACTCGTCGAGTTGGGTCACCAACTCATCGAGTCTCCACCCTCACTTCCTAGCTTCTGCTCGCTACTACTCGTCGAGTTTGGGAGACTCGATGAGTTCCTCTTCAATGATATCACTCAGTCAATCTGCATCTGACTCGTCGAGTTGTATGAACAACTCGTCGAGTCCTCCTTCAACTTATGAACACTATGGCTGTGACTCGCCGAGTTGTATGATCAACTCGTCGAGTCTAACCTAGAGGTATGAAGATTGTCTTGGTCTCGTGACTCGACTCGCCGAGTCTGAAGAATGACTCGCCGAGTCGCATGCATGCAATAACTATTCAGACTATTCTGCTCGAAACCAACGCATCCAACTGATAGATCTAGGCTTCTAAGGCTTGGTTTGCAAGTAAAGGTTCCATTTTTACGTGCACAAATACTCCTAAAGAGGTTTATAGGCATAAAATGCATGAATAACGTTAGATCTAGGGCTTATATGCAACAAGGTTCAATAAAGGTATTAGATCTGGCTTTTTGGGACTGAAATATAATTAGATCTGAAAGCTATATGTTACAACCCGGAATTTCCATTATGTATAAACAATTACACTTCAACAGAGGTTATATCAGTCACAGTAAACTTTCAGACTTTTCCGTATAAGTTTGAGTAATTTAGGTTTTACACTTTAGGAAATATCAAGAAAGTGGATGCACTAGAGTTTTGTGCAACACTGTTATTCCAACACTCTATTATATTAGAGATCATTTCGGGAATAAAATATTTTCTGCCAAAATTCTCAGGACTATAAATAGAATTCTGAACCAAATTCATTCATAATTTGCATTTCCAACTAGAGAAAAGCCATTTTCTTTCTCACGAATCTTCGGGTTTTTATACTAAAATGTGAGTAACCCTTTCTAGTAGTGTTAGAAACTTTATTATGCGGTTATAACATGATTTAGATGGCTAAATCACTAGATTTAGGAGTTTACTCCCCAAGGTGTTCTTGGGCGGTAAACTCCCGAAACAACGCCTAGACCTTCCCTTATGTTATGATACGACTTTGGACTCATGTATAAGTGTATCAGGGACAAGAAAACACCAAAGAATCACCCAAGATTGGGAGTTCACGACCCAAGAGGATCTTGGACCGTGAACTCCAAAATCATGCACAAAAGGGTGCTTTTAAGGCACCTATAGCCTTAGGCATTTACATAGACTTGTTCCCATTTAATCAAGGGCCTTAAACACATCAAGAACACCCCTCAAAATGATTTCACGGCCCTAATAAGGTTCTTGGGCTGTGAACATCCAACAAAGGCACCAAAGTGTGCCAAAGGCCTTGATATGCTTGGAATAAAAGTTTGAGACCTATACTACATGTGAATAAGACTTGAAAGCATCAAAAACACCCATTCTTAAGAGTTTACAGCCGCAGACACTAAGGGAAATGGCCTTAGGGTCGTAAACTCCTCAAAGGGGTGTTTCTATACCTTAAACCCTGCCAAGGATTTAACCACCAAGTTAGAATAATTCTAGGGATCATTTGGGACTTCAAAACACAAAATATCACCAAGATTGTGAGTTTATGGCCGTAAACTCAAGAGTTTACAACTGTGAACTCCATGTGTTATGATATATGGAGAGTAAACTCATATATTGGGTCCTTTGGAACCCTAAACCCAAGTACCTTGTCCCACAATAGCTTAGATGCAAATCCTTAGGGTTAAAACACTTATATAAAGTGTTTATTATGTTCTAGGATGTCTTAACATTATCAATTAGTAAATAAGTCTAATTGAGTGCATATATGTGTGATTATATGTTCATTAGGATCGTAGTGTGTGTACAAGTCCTCACTTGACACCTAACAATCCTGCACCGTCCAGTTCATCCAAACCACCATCTACAGGTGAGTTCATACCCTTAATCAATGTTTTAAATGATTTTCAATGCTTTAATGGGGGGATACAAGTAGAAAACAACATGTTATTAAATCATTTATATGTATTTTATAACTGTGTTTTCATTCAACAGATTTCACATACTACAAAATATGATGCATGAAATGGTTTTCTATCTTAAAATACCTTGATAACAAAAGTATTGGTTTTGAAATGTTTATTAACATGACATCAAGTCACTCTCAATTATTATTCAAAACACTTAGATATCTTGCAAAACCATTACCTTTACCTTCTTGAACAACCAATTGCCTTCCTGTTAACTATCATAGGGTTAGTTAGAAGATATCAAACATTATTCCTATTACAAGGAATCACACAAGAGTCAGTTCATTCGTGAGTCTTTACAAGTACATTACCTGATACATGAGTACCTTTACATATGCTTACATGATACATGAATACGCTTACATGAACACATTACACGAATACCTTTACGTAGATACATCTACCTGTGTATACTTACATGAATACTTGAAACTCGATTTGTAAAGATGATTTATTAGTACCTTCAGTAAATCATCCAGCCCATCCCAGTTCAACGGTAGTTTGTTACGGGATTAACCATTCCTGGAACCACTGTTCACTACAGAGGTTAATTGGAAAATCTTCGGATGCTCATTTGGTTGTTATTACTTATATTAGGAGTCAGTTACGAGATTAACCATTCCTGGAACCTACTGTTAGCTACAGAGGTTAATTGGACAATCTTCGGATGTTCATTAGGTTATCTATTTCGCTTACAGCGATGTAGAGTTAGTTACGGGACTAACCCTGGAACCACTGTTCGCTACAGGGGTTAATTTGACAATCTTCGGATGTTCATTAGGTTATACCTTTCGTTTCGGTGATGTCGTGTTAGTCTTGGTAATCCAGGGATAATACTTACATGATTATACTTTTTCTTGTTTACTTTATTTTGTGATACTTTCACATAAACGATGAGTTAGAATAAGTACTTTAGT